AAACTTCTCTCAATCACTAAGATTTCTCCTTCAACATAAGCCTCAATTTCTTCTTCTTCATTGGAATCTTCTTGGATTTCTTCTTCTTCAGGCTCGGACTCAATGTCGCCATTCCCAAGTAGAAGAATTGTATTCTGGTTAGGACATTGTGCAGAGAAATGCCCCCTCCCAAGACATTTAAAGCATCGAATGTCTCTTGAACGTTCAGTTGTTTGTTTTCTCGGTTGTTGTCTTTGTTCACTTGCTGAGCCTTGGAAGATTCAACATGCTCTTTGCTAGGAGTAGAGTAGATTTCTTCAAGTTGTTTTGACTCCATTTTGAAGGTGTAGGCATAACATTGTGAGAGGTATGTCTTCTCTATAGTTTCCTTTCTATTTTCATTTTCATTTTCACCATTTCATCTATTTCAATGTAATGGTATAACTCCAAAGTGTTGACAATTTCTAGATTAAGTCCGGTAAGAAATCTAGCCATGGTTGCTTTACGATCCTCCTCAATGTTGACTTGGATCATTACCACTTCCATTTCCTTATAGTAATCCTCCACACTCCGTTGGCCTTGTTTGAGATTCTACAATTTCTTAAACAAATCTCGGTGATAATGAATAAGAATGAAACATTTTTGCATTATACCTTTCATTTCATACCAAGTTGAGATTGGTCTTTCTCCATTCCTCCTCATGCTTATGGTAATTTGATCTCACCATATCAAAACATAATCTATAAATTTCATGGCCGCCAATCTTACTTTCTTTAGTTTTGAATAGTTGTGGTAACTAAACACATGTTCCACCTTATTTTCCCATTCAAGATAGGCTTCGAGATCAATTTTCCCTTGAAATTGAGGAATTTTGATCTTGATGTTACTCATGTTGTCATCAACATTAGCACGCCTAGGTCCTTGTAACATTGCTTGTTCTACTCCATCATAATTATCTAAAAGGTCATATTCTTAGAGAGGTTGTTGTCTACTAGGAGCACTATTGTTTCGAGCTTGTGGTAGATCTTGACGTTGATCCATCTTTTCATGAAGTGCATCAAACTCTTCACGAAACATTATTAGTAATAAAAAAATAAAACCTTATCAGCACACTCACAAAGCCTCACTTGATCACTCCAAAGAAAATTCAGATTTCACTCCACTCACGCTCATGTTTGCACTCGATAATATATCTTGACTTTTAACGATTCCCGTTCCGATCCCACTCACTCAGTATGCCTTTTTCCACTTTATCTCTCTTGTTAGGTCCTTTTAAAGAACTAACTCAAGATTAGAACAAGTTCTTTCTCACTTGTGTGTGTCGGCTGCAATATAGGTTAGTATGGACAGAAAAAAATGGAAATATAAAAGAAATGGTTTAAGGAAAGGAAATGAAAAGAATGAAATGATTTAGGAAAAAGAATGAAAAAAGAAGAAGGAATGGGTGACTTACAACCCAAAACAACATTTATTGTACCCTTTCACGAGACACAATAAGGTTATTTTCCTTGTTGTAGATATGACTCCCTAGTTTTCTTGAAATGGTAATGCACTTTCCTTGGCTTTGACTTTTTTTTGCTGGAATTTTATTTTCTTCCTTTTGAACTTTCTTTTTGTTTTTGCACTCCTTTGTTTGATATAGGAGCTTTGATTTCCTTTTGAACTTCTTTTTCTTTTGTTTTTGTTTGCTGCACGCCAATGGAACTTTTTTTATGTCAATCCAACCATGCTCTGAATATTGCTTGATGTAAGGCGAATCTAACCCTTTAAAGAAATTGAATAGATAGTCTTATTGTTGTCCCGATCTAGGAATGAAAAAAGTGATGCCCTTGAATTGTAAGTATGGTTGTAGCAAATAAAGATAATTAAAATGTTTAGTAGGATATAATGAAATGAATAAGTAATTAAAATGAATAAAAGGAAAGAAAGAGTTGGTTGTGGAAGTATATTGAAGATGATGTTGTTGGTGGCCTTCAATGGAAGATGCATGATGGTGTTGAAGTTGAATGAATGATAATGGAAGATGGTGATGAAGATTTTATCTCAAACACGCCCAGGAAGAAGCTATGCTAAAGAGCACAACCTCGATCTTCACAAACTTGCTTAAGGAACAATAATGGTGTCTCAAACCCACTAGATATGAAATCTAGAAATTAAAAGAATCGATATGGAAAGAATGACACCACAAGTATAGAAATATACTTTTTAATCGATAAAGTTCTTAAAGAACTTGCAAGATATAATTCTCACAAATGAGTTTTATATATTAAAAAAGGTGTGTTACAAATGATGGTAGCCTTTCAATTATAGGAAATGAGAGGGCTGGTCGAATAATTAGATGCTCATTTGGCTAAGTACATGATTAAATGAAGTGCATGGTGCTTTGGACGAATGGGGGATGTCTCTTGCCTTGTGTTGGTTCGACTACTCCTTCATGAATGTGTATGACTATTCGGTTGAAATGAAGGTGCATCTCCCTTGGCCGAATGATTATGTACTGCTTTACTCTGACGCTAAGTCTTGTGCATGTGCTAGGCGTGTAGGGGTTCGCGAATGGTCATGATGCTTGCCTCATACCTCTTCGTGATTTAGGCCTTCATTTGATGAGATCTCTTCACCAATGTGCACCTTGATGAAATGGCATCTTCATGGACAACAACATTCACGAAAGATCACAATTGTTGGAATGTAACCTTTCATGTTTGAGCTAGTTCTAATGTGATTGAGCTGGAGGTACTGACAATAGGTAAGTTGTAACATGGTGAGTATTATGGTAGCTCCTTGTGAAAAGTCACCTCCTGGAAAGATACCTCTTCGCGAAAAGGTAGGATTTATGAAAATTTGACTTGACCTATATTTGAAGTATTTTGAGTGGTGATGATGATGGTGAAACTCCCCAGCTGAATTGAAGTCATCTTCTAGTTTGAATCTTTAGCTCAACCCAGCTATGAGCTCACTTGTCTGCGAACAATTTTTCACCAATTATTTCTTATACTCTCATGAGTGTCCCTATATGAGTTCGCTTGCTGTATATTTCATCATTCAGCTCAAATCAGCTCCCTTAGGTGTGGCCGGATGTACCTTCAAAGAAAAATACAATATAAGCTAAGTATTTAAAGTAATAAATATTAAATATAAAGATGTGGGCTAAGGCTATAATAATAACTTCATGCATCACATAATAATGAATGAAATATTATCATCATAGCTATAGATGTAATATATGTATATAAATATATCTATGTCATAAATAAGATATCAGTCATATATCATAATCATAGTGTTGGAAAATAATAAGTTAGAGAAAGTTCCCCTATGAATCTTATGAAAGGTTGGAGATGCAAGGATGAATATGATGTTGAGTTAGTTCACATCATGTGGACATCCTCCTTTAAATCACCATGTAAAATACATTGTTAACATCGATGCCAAAGTGTCCATCCATTTGTAGCAGCTAGGGATATCACAACATTAATGGTAGAGGATTTCTCAACTGGGCTGAAGGTTTCACAAAAGTTATGCCCGAGAACCTGAGCAAAACCTTTTGCCACAAAACGTGCCTTGTATCGAGCAGTAGACCCATCAACATTTTTCTTTTCTCGAAAGAGCCACTTGAAACCAATCGCTCACCATCCATCTGGTAGAGGAACTAATTACATGTGCTACTATTTATGAGTGTTATACTCCTGCATGAAAACCTCGTTCCACTTAGGAGATGAGAGAGCATTATATATATTTATGGGTTCATCATCATTATTAATGGAATGAGTGAGTAAAACCTTGGGTCTAAAAAGCCCTAGCTTTACTGGGGTCTCCATAGGATGTTGACTACACACTCAACACTTTGTGTAAGGAGACACCCTACTGATATCCATACAAGTGTCACGAGAAGAATTTTTAAGCGAAACAGATTCATCCAGGTCACCCAACTCAACAGTCACATTCTCTTAATTTGCTGATGACAATATAGGATCCATACTAACCAGTCTATCGTTAGCTGCCATTTGTCTAGAGGAACTGCTGGATGATGAACCATCAGATTTACACACTTCATTGCGATCAATGTTTTCCAAACACTGAATATCCCCTTGGACCATGGGAATGTGAGCATCTACTGGCTGACGTGTAATGGATTTGTAGTTGGAAAAAAATCCTTTTTATTAAAAGGAAATGACCTTTCCTCAAACTGAACACGATATATATATATACACGTCCATCGGGAGCTAAACAAACATACCCCTTGTGTTGCACACTGTACCCAAGGAATATACAAGGAATAGATCGAAACTCCATCTTGTGTCGTTGATATGGACGAATGCATGGAAAAATACTTGCACCCAAAAACCATAAAGTGCTCATAGGAAGGTGTTTTGATAACCAATTGGACTGTTTCCATCAAGAACTTTCATGGAAAGGTGATCAATCAAGTAAGTAGCTGTAATAACCGCATACGACCATAACTTGAACGGTAGTTTAGCCTAAACCGGATATTATGAGTGCACATTTTATTTCGATCAAATCAGACAGATAAAAAACCCTAATCATGCGTACCAAGTGGAAGAAATTAAAAATAAACATTCATCATGTAATATACATCAACAATATATATATACCATAATCATGCTTACGACAGTTGTACACTAATGCATCGTAAAATGAACACTATTAACAATGTATGAGTAAAATAGTCATTTCACATGTCATTATAAAATCCATGTCAAAGAGAAATTTAAACTTAAAAATATGTTTTTCTAACCTTTAATTAATCACATATAAAATTTGAGCTTAATCGGATATTCTTTAGGTACTTAATTAAACATGCTCAGTTTAGGGACTAAAACACAAACTTTTCAAAATATGAAAATAACGCAAAAACATGAAATTGAAAGCTCCATTATGAAATTAGTAATATTATAGTCATAGAACAAATTTCAACCAAATCCAACTTAAAACAAATCATTAATCAGAAAATCAAGTTTTCGGACCAAATTGAATACATTTTAAAGTTTAGGGACCATCCAAGGACTTAGGGAACAATTTAGGACTTTAATGAATGTAATTTTACCTATTTTTATTGATCTCACAACGAAAGTATCAATCCTTTTTCATGGGGGATTGATCCTTTGCAAAACAGTAGCTAAATATTGTGCCAGGGATCGATCCTTTTGAGCAAGGGGCCGATCATTTTTCTGAAAAATGCAGAAAATGCATATTAATGAGCAAGGAAATGCATCCAATTGGTCATGCAATCGATCTTATAAATACAACATATTCATTATTGTCAATCTAATACACTCATGCACAATTACCTTTCTTGGAATGTCCACACACAACACACATTTGTTTCCATATAAGATCAATGACATTTGTTCAAGACACAATTAGTCATTGGATAAATGGAATCCATACAACTCCTTTTATCTTGGACGCACATAGGTCCCAAATTCCACATTTCGGAGCAAAGCTGAATGCACCGACCTTACTCGTTTAACTTCTCATAGCAAAGCTCAACATACCAACCTAACTTCATTACCCTTTCATTTATACTTGTTAAAAACATAGAGTATTCTTCCCTAGGCATGCCTTTCATATCCAAAGGTCCCATTAAGAACAAATTCCCAATCAATCCAAGTTCATCATGAGTAATTATCAATCGATGCATAGCATGTACATACATATATTTTCTTAAACATAATTCTACAAACTAAGGATGATTGTCATGATCAACCCAAATAGAATAATGAAGTGTCTCCACTCATTCTTAGACAACGAAGTATATCCACTCGTCCATGAATAGCAGACTGTCTCTACTCATCTTTAAGCTAAATATCACATAGGTTTAAAACATAGTTTTCCAAAACGGTAATGCATCAAATGTAACTTATTCAATCCACATATCATAAATCATATCACATATCCAATCACCTTCCATAAATCACTTTCTTCCAAAGCATCATAATTCATAACCAACTTATCATAATACATGTACATTCACAATGATCACTTCATGCTTCATAACTCATAATAAATCATGCTTCAATGTATATGCTTGCAATAACCACTCACCTTCAATTCATCATGGCTCATAATTAACATACTTAAATATACATGCTTGCAAAGATCACTTAATTCCAATACGCCTCAACTCGTGATCAACTTATCATAATACACATGCTTGCATAAATAATATTCTTTCAACGCCACAAATCAAGTCATAAAATTTATGCTCTTTATAATCACTTGCTTAAATCAAACATCATGGATTCACATCATTAATTATAAACAAGTATACTTAAATTGAAACCATAAATTGAGAGCTCACTCTCAACTAAACCTTCATTCAACATTGAACATATTAATCACAAGAGAATGGGAAGACATTCACCTCGATGGCGCAATCACACAATTTGACTCCAACCGCTTCCTAAATCGATGCCGAATACTGGTACACTAATTTTATCTCATAATACACCCCATAATGACCTTAGAAAACATAATAATGAGTCAGTAGGACTTCAAAAATAGAGCAAAAAATTATACTTCTAAAACAAAACAGAAATCAAACAATGAATCGAAAACCTTACTCTCCATGCGATTTAAACTTTCTAACTTGAGAATCCCTTGTTTCATCACACTTAACTGATCCTAAACAATCATAAAAATGATTAAGAACCCAAGAAACCACCCAAAATCAGTAGCCAACGCAAGCATACCCAGATTTCCAAAAATACTAAAATCGTCATTTCTTGCTCAAATCAAAATGGAAATCAAATCCAATTGAAAAAACTGTTTTAGTATCATTATAATCAAACTTTTAATATCTTAAATCCGTCAAGAATCAAGAGAAATACGATCAAGAAAATACCCTTTTTATTTATTCTGAAAATCAACACAAAATGAAATATTACCAAATCACGTATGCAATCATGTATTACCCATTGATATCAAAATCTTTTAATCGATAAAGCTTAAAGAAACCAAGGAAATAAGCTTACCTTGCTAGAAATGGAAGGAAATAAGGTGGAAAGATAAGGCATGAAATAAAGAAGAAGTTTAAGAGATCTCTAGAAAGAATCAACAAAAAAGGAGGGATAAGGGAGATGAAGAAATGATAAACTTAAGAGAGAGATGATCAAGAGTGAATAAAAAATCAGCAAAGTAGATGAGCATTTGGAAAAGGAAGTTCTTAGTCATGAGAAGAAAAATAACGGAAAATAGAGAGTATTTTGGTATATTCAAAAAAACGTGAATGATGGAATACGAAAGTTAAAACTATTTTTTATTAACAAAATAAATAATAAAAATCTTAGGTAAGGATGAAAGAAAACATAACGGAATTGAGAGAAAAATAGAACAATCACAACCTTGGTGAAATTGCTTTATAGATTTTTAAGATTTTGAAATTATTCGATTTAGTCACTCAAATCTCTCATTTTTAATATAACACAATTTAGTCACCATTCATACTTAAAAATCAACTTAATTATCCTTTGGAACTTGTTTAATAATTCTAATAAAACTTTAAAAATATTTAATAACACCATATTTCCAAATACTTAAAACATAATCTTTTCAGAAATCATGAAAATGACCGGTTACCGACCTGAAACTACTAACTTGGATTTTGGGATGTTACACTGCCCGAAACAAAATTTTCACCATTATTTGGAATAGAGGGAAAACATGCATTGCCCAGGACTTTTCATGTAGCAGATATACCCACGTATATCGAGTACAAGCTTCCACAAAGGCTATATAATATCTATACCAGTAGAAACAATATGAGAGGGATCCAATAGATCGATATATATTTAGTTTGAGTCACTGAGAGACAAATTATGGATTTTTCCAACTTGTCACGCAACACACAAATTTCTATTAGAAACAACAGAAGGAATAACATTACAAAGACGACACACTGTAACTAATGACTTATGAGAGGGGTGACCCAAATGACGATGCCAAAGCTCAATATCAACCATTGGCCCATTCACTACAAGGCACTCAGCACGCACCAAGTCTTTATTTACCAAGAATCAAACACATACAACCCATTCTTTTCACAACCTTTAACACTTCACGTGTGGTTTCATCCTGAACAACGCAACTACTAGCATGGAATTCAAGGTATTCTTGATTATCCAGAGCGAGCTTGGAAACCGAAATAAGATTTTTAGACATATGAGGAACATGAAGAAGGTTATTCAAAAACAAATACAGAGAGGAAGCAAATAAGTCAGATTGACCAACTTGAGTAATAGGTAAGCCTATACCATCACCAAGAAGAACCTTACCGGTGCCTGAAAAATCTTCACCATCAGCTACATCAGAACCATTAGTAGTAATATGGTGTGTTGCATCGGATTCAACACCCCGATAGGGTGAGCATTCGATCGAGTAGAGTTGAGTCGAATAAATTTTATTTGAGTTATTTGAGTTGACGAGTCGTATTTTACGACTCGAATCTAAATTGAAATTTTTTCGAGTTAAGTCGATTTTAAGAAATTCAAGTTGAGTTATTCAAGTTTCTATATTAATTGTATTATAATTATTTATAGTATTATGGCAATGATTTGATCTAATTTCTTTACTTTATCTAACCATATAATATATATATATATATATATATATATATATATATATATATATATGTATATATTCTTTCATACTATAATGTTATTTAATATATAAAATTCAATCTAAAATTATGAAATATATTCATAATATTATATTTTAAAAAAGTATTTTGAGGGTAAAATATTGATGAGAATATAAATGAGTCAAAGAATTGACGAGAAAAAAGAATTTACAAACAATTGTAGTCAAAAAACCAAATTGAGTAAAATGCAAAGTTAAGGGACTAAATAAAAAAAAGAGTACATCTTTGGTAAAAAATAACAATTAAAGTTATGTAGGTATTCTATTGTGGTATATGAGCATGTGGTTTAAATTTGGTAAAAATCGAAGGTATAAATTTGGTAAAAATCAAACTTAAACTAAATGATAAATTTGAAGGAATAAGGAGATTATGAAAAATTGAAGGACTAATTAAAAAAATAAAAAAATTATCAAAAAGAGGAATTGAAATTACACATGTATTATACTAAGGTTTAGGAGCATGTGGCTCAAAATTGGTAAAAGAAGAAACTTAAAATAACTGACGAATTGAAGATATAAGGAGATTATGAAAAATTGAATGACTAAATTGAAAAAAATTGTTATCAAAAAGAGGAATTGAAAGTACATATGTATTCTACTATGGTTTAGGAGCATGTGACTCAAATTTGATAAAAAAAAACTTAAAATAAATAAAGAATTGAAGAAATAAGGAGATTATGAAAAATTGAAGAACTAAATTGGAAAATAAGAATTTGTTATAAAAAAGGAATTGAAAATAAACATGTATTCTACTTTTGTTAGGAGCATGTGGTTCAAATTTGGTAAAAATATAGACTTAAAATGAAGAAGGAATTGAAGAAATAATGAAATCATGGACTAAATTGTAAATCTGTCAACATACTTAGTAAAATTTTTTGTTTTTCGTGTAACTCGAAAATTCAAAATTTAACTTGACTTGAACTCGAAAACCAAATTTATAATTCGATTTGATTCAAATAACTCAAATTGAAAAAAATGATTTTTCGAGTTTAGTCGAGTCGAGTTTTGCTCATCCCTAAACCCAACCATCATTCTTGTGAGAAGGACCCCATCCACCGTGCCCACAGTCCGACACTAAAGAAACATTGTGTTAAGGTTGAGACTGTAACACCCTTAACCCGTAAACGTACTAAATTACGAATTAAAGATTTCACATCAACTTTTTAATTCCCTATTTAAAATATTTGTTAGATCTAATAAAATGCATACTACTTATACTAATTTATAAAATAAAATTTGACTTATAAACTAATTTATCAGAGCAATTAAAACACATATATTTAAAATACATGCCAACTATCTAAGTAAAAAAAGGAATAGACCATACTGATATTGGAATAAATGTGATCCGCAAAAAGTGATGCATGTTGTGCACCCTACTCCACTAATTGATCTTTTGATTTACCTACGTATAAAATATTCATACGCCAAGTAACAACTTAGTGAGGCATTATTTAAAATGAATCATTTCAGCGTAAGAATATATAAATAAATATTTCTTATAGAAAATATCTTATATAAAATATAAGAACATAATAATAGACTGAATAACCTCTAACTTTCATCATAAACCTAAAAATATCCTTTCAAAATACCCAGATTCATTTTCATAGATAAAATCATTCAAAGAAAGATTTGATTTCAATGAATCAATCATTCATGCATATTTCAAAACATTTAGTAGATAGCCCAATGTACAAAAATGAGAATACTAGGTATACAAGTTAGAACGAGTGTGTGCACAATATGCAGTAATATCTGTCAGAACAGAATGCACCCATGGTGCCAGAACGCACAAATAGTGCAAGATGGATGTACACAAAGGTACCAGAACACACTTATAGTGCAAAAAACTGAACCACTCAACCTCATGGCATGTCAATCGTACCACTAACTCTCAATGCACAAGCAATGGGCTTTATAATTCAGACCAGATTTCAATTGCAATTCAAAGATAACCATAGAATAAATCAAAGCGATTGGACAGTTCATACCTGAATCATTCTTAAACCATATCAGATAATATCATAAAATAAACACATTATAATAAAATCATATTCGATTTATTTCAAAACATTAAAATATGTAAGAATGCACTCACCTTATATGCCTCACTAATCGACTCTTACTTTGATGTCCTTACTCGGTTACTTTTTCCTCCGCCTTTGTTTCACTTTGAACACGCTTGTTTTGAGTATCTATATAGAATAACATTTACAATGCACATACATTTCAAAGCATATGTTAGTATTATACTAACACAAGTAAAATGTAGTAGCTTAAATTGTAAAAAATTACTCTATACTTATTTAATATTAAACATAGCTACTAACTTTAATATTCCAAAAATCACACTCTAAGTCCTTCACTATTTAAATTTCTCCAATACTTCCAAACTTGCATAATTATCGAGCAAGATCCATATTTTCCCTTATTCATAATTTAATCCCAAAACTTTAAGAGATCTAAATCATCCTTTAAACTTAATAGTAGCATTATAATATAAATTTATAGCATTGTATTTCAAGTATGATTTCAAGCTCTCAACTTCAATTCCATGAAATTCCATAGCAATTCAATCCAAAATCAATTTTTTCCATAAACCCTAGGTCATGATCAAATCGTTATTTATGCATTTCCAATTGATTTCAATCATCATATACACTTGAAAACAACTCTAAAATACCATTAACATAAAAATCTATCCATGAATCATCAAACTCCAACTAGTTCTTCATCCACCATAACCACCAACTCAATGATCAACTCAAGGAAACTATGAAATAATTATATCAAATGATAGAGAATTTAAAGTAGATTAATTCTCTATTTCACACCTTAGTCAAAAATCTCAAAAAATTTCTTAAAATGAAATTGAAAAATTCTCTATTTTCTAATGGAGTTCACGATACCTTATGGAGAAGATCAACTAATTTTTCATGAATTTTCCACAAAATATCTAATTACACATATCTTTATAATAATTTAATGAATTTAAAATTCACTAAAATCCATTTTACCATTAATAAATCTTGATAACATCTAATATGCCATTACTTTGACCTTATCTCCAAAGTCAAAGATGAATCAAATATCTCCCAATTTTCACTTTATACTTGTAATTTTAAAAATTACAATTTAGTCACCGAAATTACACAATCTTGATTTAACATGAAAATTAATCTAAATTCCAATGACTCATGCTGCATTTCACCCTTATAAAGGATGAAAATAATATTTCTAACGCTTCTCCATCTTCCTTCAAAATTTCTCAAAATTTTGATTCGATTCGGTTATCCGAATTTTTACCGGACTTTAATGCTTTATAACTTTTTATACAAACTCTGAATGAAAATTATGATTCCCACGAAAATGTTAATTCCATAGTAAACCATTCATTTACATACCAAAATACATAACTTATAAAATAATATTTTTGGTCCCTAAACTTTTACAGGTTTATTCTTTAGCCACAAAACTTTCAAAATTTACATTTTGGCCACTAATAAAAATTTGGGGTATTAAA